TGAGGCTATAAATCAGCACCTTGTTCAATTTTTCATCGATAAAGACAGGTTCTTCTATGAACGAGAAATTATGAAGCTCACTAAAAGATGGCAAAAGGTTATCGAACAAAACGGGCAATATATCATTGATTGATCTTTGTTCTTTATAAATAAATGATCTTTGAGAAACACAAAAAAATACGTCATAACTTTTCCGACAACTCAATATATAAAAAAATTTGGGACTCAAGGATCGGTCTAAGTGTGGAAGGTGGATTCGCCGCATACGATGATCGAAGAAATTTCGATACGTGCGTTTAACATGCTGGACATATTATCCTCCTACTATCATATTAATATTAAAAAGTAATATTAATATCTAATAGCACTAAGACATCCGTGCTTATATGCCATTTTTCAAATCTTACTGTTAGTTATTCAAATGAGCTTTCTATAATTTCGGTTTATCTTAAATAAAATAGGCGGAAGAATATGCTATCTCTCTCCTGTATAATAACATCTCTTACGAGATCGACTCTTTCTTTCTTTTTCTCTCGACTTACATCTGAGAGGATTTATAAACATTGTGTTGCGAGAGGACTGTCGAAGCCTCGGTGGCCGAATGGAAAGGCGTCCCGCCCGGAAAGTGAGGAAGTTCCAGATTCGTATCCTGGTGGAGGCATTTTTTTTCGCAACATATATAATGAATCTATTTGAGTTATCGGTTTAATGGGGGTTTTGAGAATATAAATATATATATATATATATATATATATATATATATATAAATTTGGGACTCAAGGATCGGTCTAAGTGTGGAAGGTTGATTCGTCACATACGATGATCGAAGAAATTTCGATATGTGCGTTTAACATGCTGGACATATTATCCTTCCACAACTTTATTAATATTAAAAAATAGTATTAATATCTAATAGCACTAAAACATCCGTGCTTGCTCCTTATATGCCATTTTTCAAATCTTATTGAAAAATTATATGGTTCGATGGAGAACATAAGAAGCATAAGAATACCATTGGTTTGACCATTTGGTTTTTGACCTGGCGCCTTCAACGTCAGGTCGAAATCAACTTTGCTTTTTTAAATAGAAATATATATTTTTTATTATGGAATGTTATTCTACGTAAAGAAATAAACAACCTTTGTCTGAAAACATTTTTTATACGACCTCCATTTTCGAAGATATTTACGCAAATATCTACAAAATTATTGGTTTCAATAATTTTTTACTCGAATTCTATCAACTTTATCAAAAATAGCAAGAGATAAAAATTGTGTATTTTCTTCTCATAGAGCTTTGCAAATTTTTTGAGAACTTTTTAGTTAACTTTTTAGTACTGCATTTTCTTGAAGTACTAAAAAGTTTATTAAAAAATCCTAAAAAAATTCTCAGAGCTCTACGAAAAAAATAAACAATTATTATTTCTTGCTTTTTTCGGTAAAGTTGATAGTATTAGTAAAAAATTATTGAAACCAATAATTTTGTAGATATTTCCGTAAATATCTTCGAAAATAGAGGTTGTATAAAAAATATTTTCAAACAAAAGTTGTTTGTTTCTTTACGTAGAATAAAATTCCGTAATAAAAGGTATATACTTCTATTTAAAAAAGCAAAGTTGACCTCGATCTTGCCTTGGCGGCGCCACGCAAGATCAAACCAATGGTACCTTCTTATATCCTCCATCGAACTCCATATAACTTTTGTTTGAAACATTTTTGCTGAATATGCTTGGCTGAAAAATTATCAGGATAAATCTTTAACTAAATGGGTAAATGGAACACCCTGTATACTTAAAAATTAACTTTGAATGCTTTTTCATATTTTTCATTAGTAATGTTCTTTGTCTATTCATAGTTCTACATTTTTCTTCCATGTAAGCTATTCACAGGGTTGGGAGGAAGTAACTCGTTACTGGTAACGAAGTTACAGTTACATTTTTTCGGTAACTGTAACTTAACTTAGTTACTTTTTTTCCACCTCTAATTGTAACTTAACTTTACTTTTTTTTAGTAACTTGTAACTTTTTTAAAAGTTACTTACGAAACGTAAAATAAAATTAAAATGATATAATAATCATATATTGATATAATAAAGGACACCACACTAATTATATAGGAAATACGATCTAAAATTGACTAGATTTCATAAATGTTGTAGTTAATGATCTACTGAACAAAAAATGTAATAGATTTAAAGTTAAATAATGGACAGTTTTTAAGCTACAGTTAGTCAAACACGAAAAATTCTGGCTCCGCGAGTATTCTTTGGGAACACTTTGGAATTATCAAAAATCTCATAGGAAAATCATTATTTATTGATCTCAAGAGAAATTCCATATATAATCATCTCCTTATGTGGATTCATATAATGATATGTATGTGTGTGAATATGCGTGTGTGCGCACACATTTATCACAGCAGAGATAAAGACCCCACCGTTTGTCACTTCCGCGGTATTTAATAACTCCGAACTCTCTATGCCATGTGTATGTGTGTGTATGTGACTTAACAATTAATTGTCTTAATTGTTCAGGAATTTATTTTCTCCATCATTCGGATCCTATTGTGATGATCTCTGCGCAGAATCAAATAATAATAATGAAAAGGGATAATGGATGTTGAGTTGCACAGAGACCACCACAACAGGATCCAGATGGGGAAAATAAGTTCCTGGACAATTAATTGTTAAGGTTCACACACACACACACATACGCACACACACGCACGCACGCACACACACACACATACAGCAGAAAAATTTTGAAGTCATTAACTCTTTAAGTTATAGTGTATCATATATGATATATTTTTTTTAGAGCAGTTTTTACAAATTTAAACTAATTTGTAGAGATTTCGAGGCGGTAAGTGTGGATTCATTGTGAACCTTAGATATTCCTCTAACAGAATCATCTGCATTCAACATTAAATTTTGCAAATTTAATTATTTATAAACAAATTAATGTAAAAAATGGTATTTATTTGCCAAAAATATTGCAAAGTGAACCTATAGAAAAAATAACTGTCAATGCTTTTTGAATTGTAGATGATGACGCAAACTCAAAAATTAAAAAATTAAAAATGGCGAACTCAATATGGCGAGATAAAATACCAATAATTATAAATTATATTTCTTTATAAGCTATATTTAATTTCTCTTCATAAGTTATAAGTTTTATATATATATATATATATATATATATATATATATATATATATATATATATATATATACATATATATATATATTTCTTTCCTTAAATAAATGAAGTCGAGTCTGTGAATAACTTGAATTTCAAAAAAGTGATTTCAAATTCGTGATCAGCGACGCCTCGGATACCAATTTTAACGAAAATCGAGGGAGCTTTAAAAATATCGTCTACCATTGAATTCGCCATTTTGAATTTTCAGAAACCAACATCAAATTTGTAATTAGCAACTCCAAAAATCCCCAGATATCGATTAAACAAAGGAAAAGGTTGTGTAGAAAAATTCGTGAGTTAAAGGTTAAATACTGCGAGAGTGACGTGGGTCCTTATCTCTGCTGACAAATGCGCGCGCACACACGCATATTCACACACATATACACCATGTATGAATCCACATAAGGAGAATATATATGGAATTTCTCTTGGGATCAATAAAAATAATGATTTTCATGAGATTTTTAAGATTGATAATTCCAAAATGTTCCCAAAGAATATTCGCAGAGCCAGAATTTTTCGTGTTTGACTGATTGTAGCTCAAAAACTATCCATTATTTAACTTTGAACCTATTACATTTTTTGTTCAGCAGATCATAAACTACAATATTTGTGAAATCCAGTCAATTTCACCAAGATCGTATTTCCTATATAATTAGTGCGGGATGCTTTATCAACGTATGTATGGAGCATGTGATTAAATTCTTTTACCTCTACACACAAAAGAGACTATTATTAAATTTTTATTATATTAAGTACAGATTTAAAATTTTCTAAATTAAGTGGATAGACTAATTAATGTGATAGATATTAATTACAATATTCAATTCTTACATTTTAATAAAGCTTAAAATATAAGATTTTAGTATTTACAATAATAATTTACAATCATTTCAAGAAAGTAACTTAAAAGTAACGATTCGTTACTTTTTAAGTAACTGTAACTGTAACGAGTTACTTTTTATAGCCAGTAACTTGTAACTGTAACTAGTTACATTTTCAGCAAAGGAAACTGTAACTAGTTACTTTTAAAAAGTAACTTCCAACCCTGGTTATTTATCTGTAATATAGAATATCATTTATATAAAAAAGATGATTGATACTTTATATTATCGATTGTAAAATTTCAGAAAAGTAACTTTGCTATGAAAAAAAATAATAAAAAAAATATGTAAAAATTTTACTTTAAAAAATCATAATATATAACACACTTCTAGAAAATACTTCTTTAGTATAAATAAAGTATTATTTAGAGTAACAAATATTTTTTTCTTATACATATAACCTAATTTTTATAAATCATAATATCATAAATCTTTTAAAGACAAAAATAATCTCATTGGAATTAGAAAGTTACATATATTTTTTTAAAGCAATAAAAATATACATTTTTCTCTCTTTAAGTTTTATTCTATCAATTGATGAAATTATAATTAAAAATGACACTATATGTTATAAATTACGTCAAGTGTAATTCAATACAATGAAAAACGTATACGTTACCAACTGCAAATATTATAATGTTCAAAAATATAATTTTAGAAGCATAATACATGCATTTTCAATCGTTCACAATATACGTATATGTAATATTGCGTTCAAATTCAAGAATAAAGCTCCAAGATTTTTTAATATAATCTACAAACAGTTTAATATAATCTACAAACAAACAAGGGAAGATTACCGTGAAACACTCCCTACATATAATTATGTGCGTGTATATGTTGTGTATCTCTGTATATGTGTGTGTGCATGTATGTAGTTTTATTAATACATATTAAATCCTTACTTAATGACATACCATTAATAATTTGATGATATTTTCCATAGATTCTTTAGAAATAATATCTTTCACACCCAAGTGTTTCTTGAAAAACTTATGATCAAGTAATGATGGATGCTTGTCTCTAACAACAAGCAATATATAAAATGTATCCAAAGTTTGTTCAGACCATGGTTTGCTAAATTGCTTTTCGATAATTGGCCAAATAGCTTTCTTCATATATTCAACATCAAGCTGTACAATGAATTCACGAAGAAACATAGTAGAGATAAATGATAAATAACTGCGTTGTTTACCAGAATTCAAAAGAGTCTCTATAACTTGTTGTTGTATTTCAATAGTATTTTGAACAAGTAACTTAGATCGTATCAATGCACCACACAGCAATATATGCCCCATGTATATATTAGCATTTTCCTGTAAAAAGTATAATATATAAGTTTAAATATAATTTATGCAACAAAGAAATTTTTATAAGCATTATGAAAATTATCAATAAAAATCATACATTTTTTGAATTACTGCCAACTGGATGCAATTGACTATTCATTATAGATAAAAGTTTTTCTATTGAATTTTCATGATGTGTTATTCTTAGAAAGATTGTCAATGTACTATAAAATCCTCTTCTTCCAAATACTGTTGACGATCCTAAGCTACGCACTAATCTATTTAATGCATAATTTAACTCTTTTTTATCATCTTGATCCTGTAAAGATAAATTAATATTGCACACTAAAGTAATTAATTATCAAATATTTAATGCACAAATTATAACTATTTTTCTTATCTTTTTTGTTCTCTCATGTTTTATTTTTAGATACAAATTAATTAATATTTTTTTTTTCTAATGAAATAAATAATAATGCCAAAATATTAATCATATATTTGTGAATTAAACAGAAATATATGTGTATAAGATAATTAAACATAAAATTTCTATGTTGGATTATAAGTTAAAAATCTAAAATTAAATCTCTGGTTTAGTTTCCAAGAAACTTTTCACAAATACAGAATGAAGCAATAACTACTACCTCCTTGAATATATCTTAAAGTAAAAGATTTTGTTTCTTCAAGTATGATGACAGGGATGTAACTTAATGATTCTTTTAAATAGTCTTCTCTATCTATTCAGTAGATAGATTTTAAGATAATCTTAAATGTTTTAAGTAGAATCATATGGTTTTTTAACACAAATCAATTTTTCTGATTATATTCTACATAAAAAAGTACTGGGATAAATTATAAAAAAATGGATACATTTCAAAAAATATTTTTCACGTAATTCTAATATTTTGTAAGATATAGTATAAAATATAGTTATAAGATATAGTATAAAATATCTCGTAAACTATTCACTTTTTGATAACCTTGTCTAAGTAGTTTTGTATATAGGATGACAAGAGAAATATCAATCAGTGATATTAGTTTTTTTACATATTGGTCCCCATCATTGGTCCACATATTTTATATCAAGTCCAAAACATACAACAGAATTTTATTTGTTCCTTTGTTTTTCTAACTGTCTATTTTTACATTATATCTTTCATTCTATATGCAAAGGTATTTAAGTAAGGTTGTTCAAAAGCAAATAGTTTAATAGTTTACAAGATATTTGACATCTTATATTAGAAAGTATCAAAATAAAGTAAAAAATATTTTAAATAATTTATCTTTATATTATTTATTTATCCTAGTATTTTTATACATAAAATAATCAAAAGGATTGATTTGTATCACAAAAACATGATTTTATTTAAAAATTTTAATGTAACCTTGAAAACTCCCACATACTTTTATTCACAAAAGAATTATTACATTGTCTTGCATATCACCACACAATCCCCAAAAAAGGGGATTTTAATATCTTAATTTAAGAGATATTCTAGGTAGAATAGTTATTGCATTACTCTGTACATTATTGTATATGTTAAATATAATATAACACAGTTCCAATAAAGGAAACTAGGCCACTTCCAATAAACTCTTTAAGATAAATAATGTTCGTCATAAAAGATTTCTTTGATCTAGAGAAATCTTTTATGATTATAGATTAATATAATTTATATGAAAGAGAGAGGTTACAAATTATCTTACCATGCTATGTTCATACAGATGATGTAATAATGCAATTCCAGCATTTATCCTAGTTGCACTATTGCTGTTTTTCAACTTACTGAAATTATCCAAAACAGTAGAATTCATTTTATTAATTACACATTCAACAATCTTTTGGAATCACAAAACGAACACATGCTATCCACAGCAGACCAATGATCAACGCTTCTGTTCAATAAACACAGAATGGTAACACCAAAAATAGAGACCCTTGAGTAGAGACTGGATATACCGGGGTTTCGTGTGATTGGTGCACGTAACTTTTGCCCATAAAATGGCAGCGCCAACATAGGTTGCTTTCCAACAAGAAACACAAGTCAACACAAGTATCATCCTGGGGTGCGTTCAGATGGGAGCGGTGCACATGGACACGGTGCATTTGGACACAGCCAATCACAGCACCGTGTACTTAGAAACATTTGTAGGGTCCCTTGGAACAGCGACTTGTGATTGGACTGTGTCCAATTGCCCCGTGTCCAACTGATATACACCCCGTTCAGATTCTTCATCCGGATGCACTCTATTACTAGAAACATAATAGTATATGTTACATATAGTGTGATTACGACAATTAGAGTTATGGCTCTCGCAGACCAGCGCGATTTACGACGCGACACGCCATATGCAATGCGCGATATCCAATGAACGTACAGCATTTCCGGAATACCAATACGCTCATTGGATATCGCTCGTTGCATATCGTGTGTCGCGTCGCGCATCGCACTGGTCTGCGAGAGCCTTTAGAGTTAGTTCGACTAGGGCCGAAAATTATGATAGACACGACCATTTAGTACTTTTGTAGTTTATGACAACTTCTTATTTCTAATGGCTCCTACACACAGGACGCGGTAATGCTTGCCGCGCGGCAGAACTTCGCGCGACAGCCAATCGATATGCTGCTTTCCGTAATAACCCTCCAGCTTTTACGGAAAAACAATATATTGACTGGCTGTCGCGCGGACTTCCGCCGTGCGGCAAGCATTACCGCGTCCTGTGTGCAGGAGTCATAAAGAACGCGCATTCGACATTAGGTAATAATTTCGAAAAATCTCACGATTATATCCATATTTTTTTTTTTAATGTATGGTATGTAACGTCCGGATCTATTTTAGAACATTAATAATATATTATTATAGACCGGGAGGCCGACTTGTCTGATTTTAGACATCACTAGATATTTTATCCCTACGTTACTAGATGTAAGTACGTGCGCATATGCATATTCGCGAGCGTTAAAACATTATAATTAAAATGCCGAATGCTGCGTGCTGCTGGAGAGTCTCGAAATCGACGGATCGACCCAAAGAAACCGCTATCGCTCAGTGCGATAAGCCAACATAAACAGGAGCATGAAAACTGAATCCCAAACACCACTCAGGACACCGACGCGGTGACATCATGCAAAGGAATGAATCTCTTCCCTCGCCATAACTCCATGGACCAATCGGAGAACGACTCTCAGCGACAAAGCGACATATAAAAGCGCGCGCATTTGTAGAGAAGGCAATAATTATTTTCTTCTCATAGTTAGTCTCTGGTAGCTTCGTGTACTTATTCAGCATATTATACTTAGTCGTAAAATCCGACTGTGTTGCAATTACTTTTGCCTACCCTTCATATTTCAAACATTGCGAAATCAAATTCTGAATCGCGGGCCGCATCAACCCGCGTGGTATCGGAACTTCCGAAGCCGAGCCAGGAGAACAAGCACCGCTGATTTTCCGCCAGATTCATCAATCGTTTCGCCAGGCTCCCGAGACCCAGGGTAAACTCGGTGAAAAGCAGAGTGACCCAAAAGCGGAGTCATCACTCTGTTGACCGTCCACGTAAGTCACTGATTTCACTACTTTCAAATTTACCTATATAGTTATTTATCGTGGACGTAACAATAAGATTATTTGTATTTTATTAAAATCATACTTATTATAAATTATTATATGAGAAATCTGAAGTGTAAAATATAATCTTAATTTAAAATTATAATATCCTAATTTATTTACAAGAATTTTGTTTATACTAATCATATATGTGACGGAATTTACAATTGTATTACGAGTTTTGAATTACGGTTTGAAAATTATTTATTAATTAATAAATAATTTTATTTATTAATTAATAAATAATTATTATATATAAATAATTATATAATTACAGTTTGAAAATTATTAATTAATTAATAATTTTCAAACTGTAATTATATAATTATTTATATATAATAATTATTTATTAATTAATAAATAAAATTATTTATTAATTAATAAATAATTTTATTTATTAATTAATAAATAATTATTATATATAAATAATTATATAATTACAGTTTGAAAATTATTAATTAATTAATAATTTTATTAATTATTAGGTGGTAAACTTAGTTCCTGCGGCTCACGGTTAGATGACGTTAGTTGTAGGTGTAATTTATTTTGACATCTGAAACTGGCTGCATTTTAGAGGTTAGACATTTGTCAATAAAATTCAGTGCGAAGAGATTTATTTAAGCGAGCAGTGCTATTTTTTCTTTTGATTAAATCTGGAACGTGATAAGTTGTTTTTTCGACATGTACTGCTTCATTACTTTGACTTGAAAAAAACTGCAGCTGCAGCTCATAAATTGCTTTTCGAAGCTTATGGCAATTATGCTCCATCGGAAAGAACATGCCAAGTATGGTTTCAGCGATTTAAGAGTGGTGATTTTGATGTCAATGATAAAGAACGCTCAGGCCAACCGAAAAAGTTTGAAGACACCGATTTGCAGGCATTATTGGACGAAAACTCTACTCAAACGCTCCAAGAATTGTCTGCAGCATTAAATGTTACTCCGATGGCTGTTTCCAAACGTCTACATGCAATGGGAAAAATTCAAAAGGAGGGAAAATGGGTACCACACGAATTAACCGCAAATGCCATTGCGAATCGCTTAAACATCTCTATTTCTCTGCTCGCCAGGCAGAAAAAGAAGAGTTTTTTGTGGCGCATAGTGACTGGCGATGAAAAATGGATATACTTCGATAATCCTAAACGAAGAAAATCATGGATAGACTCTGGCCAACCATCGGCATCCACACCAAAGAGAAATATTCATGGCCACAAATGCTTTGCATTTGGTGGGATATGCACGGCGTCGTTTATTATGAGCTACTCAGACCGAACGAAAGTATCACGGGGGATCGATATCAATCACAATTAAACCGTCTGAATGAAGCATTGTTGGAAAAAAGGCCAGCAGTAGCCAGCAATCGACGTAAAGTCATGCTTTTGCACGACAACGCTCGACCACACGTTGCCAAAGCCATCAAAGAAACACTGATGCAGCTCGAGTGGGAAGTTCTCCCGCATCCAGCGTATTCACCAGATATACCTCCTTCGGACTATTACTTGTTCCGGTCGATACAGCACGGCTTGGTGGATACACACTTCAGAAATTACGAAGATGTGCGAAAATGGATCGACGAATGGATTGCATCAAAAGACCAATCGTTCTATCGTCGCGGAATCTACGCGTTGCCCGAAAAATGGGAAAAATGTATAGCTAGCGAGGGAAAATACTTCAATTAATGTATTTTTTGCTTTTGATGTCGAAATAAATGAGTTTTTTGAACAAAAAAACCGCAGGAACTAAGTTTACCACCTAATAATGAATAATTTTCAAACCGTAATTTTAAACTCGTAAGTTTAATTGTAACTTCACATACAAGGTTCACAAAAAGTCCGGAAACGGTCAAATATCACGAAAAAGATCAACTGTAGCGAAAAATATGTTAGTAGCAAAGTTGTAGGGCTTAATAAAATGTACTTAATGATGGCTAAAAATTTGAGTTTGGGTGGATGACGAAGGTCATACGAAGATCAAATTAAATTTTTTTAATTGGACTCCCACTTTTTATTACATGTTCTTGTAACTTATTTCAAGGGCTTTCCAAAAACCTATAATAAAGTATTTTTTTATTAGGCATATTTAGAGTTATGAGGCTTCAAATGATTTTGGTCTTTAACTGTTTCTGTTTCGTAAAAACGTATCACTGTCTTCTGAACGGTGGATTTAGAAATAAAATTGCGATCTGGATATGCAGCATTGAATATGTAGATCAGTTACTTCTTCGTATGATCTAATATGGTCTCCAAATTTTCGATAAAGAAACAGCATTATCTTTTCTTTATCGGTTAACATTTAAAAAAAAGAAATTTGAAATTGTAGTTGGAAAAAGAAAGGGAATATGTTGTTTTTCCGTAAGAACTAGAAAGTTATTTCGGAAAGCAGCATATTGATTGGCTGTCGCGCGAATTTCCGCCGCGCGGCAAGCATTACCGCGTCCTGTGTGCAGGAGCCATAAGGCAGAGAACGAGACGTAACCCAGATAGCACAAGATCTCCTGAGGACGTCCTAAGGACATCCTGAGCGTAAGCGTAGTCGTGAACGTAAGAGTCAACCAATCCGAATGTTTTATTCACTGATTACTTTACTCTGATTGGTTGTCGTAATCACTTACAACTACTTACAACCACGTTTACGCAATTGTAGAATAGGCTTTACGCTTACGTTTTTCTCTGCCTTACTTTACGTCTATGATTACGACGCTTCCCTAATAGCACAGATGTCCAGAGGACATCCAGAGGACATCCTGAAGGCATCCTGAGGACATTCTTCGTCCTCAGGACGTCCTTAGGACGTCCTCAAGAGATCTTGTGCTATCTGGGTTACGTCTCGTTCTCTGCCTTATGGCTCCTGCACACAGGACGCAATAATGCTTGCCGCGCGGCGGAAATTCGCGCGACAGCCAATCAATATGCTGCTTTCCGAAATAACTTTCTAGTTCTTACGGAAAAATAACATATTCCCTTTCTTTTTCCAACTACAATTTCAAATTTCTTTTTTTAAAATGTCAACCAATCCGAATGTTTTATTCACTGATTACTTTACTTTGATTGGTTGTCGTAATCACTTACAACCACTTACAACCACGTTCACGCAATTGTAGAATGGGCTTAAGCCTATTCTACAATTGCGTAAGCGTAGTCGTGAACGTAAGAGTCAACCAATCCGAATGTTTTATTCACTGATT